GTACTGTTACTTAATATATACCATCTACCCAAACTTAGAGTGTCAAATGTGCTAAACACAATTAGGTGTTTATTAAGTTGCTCATACCCCACTTTTCTGTGCAATCTAAATACTTGCCCAATTCTTGATGCAATGTACAGCAACCATAAATACAAAATGTGTCAACAGACACAGGCATCTGCCATCAGAGCAGCCTGGGGAGACTGTTTAGGCTAATGGTTTATCAGTGGAGTGATAGCCGAGGACAAGTAGACCAACCTAAAAAGTGTTGTGTAAAAATAGGCATAGGACTTGACCATGCAACATACAGCATGGGCTAAAAGTCTAGCTTGGTATGAGTCACTTGGTTCTCTTTTTTTAGACAAGTATTTTTTTACTATTATTATTATGGGTTGGGCAGGGATTAGACATCAGCGTTGTTCTGCGATAGCAAAGCAGTGACATAGGTATAAAAAATAGCATTAACAAATCTAAAAGTCGATACTGCTAGACTGCTGGTAAAGCACAGACATCTTCCGTTCTGGCTGCAGAAAAAAACTGCCCTGTTTTATCATTTTCTTTGGGCTCCAATGTAATATCTAGTGCTATGGGAGCTGAGGAATGCACTCAATGACAAGCCTCTGCCGCGTGCTATTCTTTTTCATCCCACTTTTCTTCTCTGAGGAAAGCAAGCCATGTGTAACACATGTGTAACACATCTTTTCTGTTTGCATTTTTATTTTGGTCTGTGTTTAAGACTCTCATTAGCAAGTGCAAGGTCAAAGGAATATGTTTGTTTTGTAAAGGAAAAGGGTAAATCCTCATGTGCTCAATATCTAATTACACTTTGGACTGGGTCTGCAAAAGTTGTTCCCTGACTAACTTTTGCATTTTCAAAGCGTGTGTTCTTATAGTAGAGAAGTGACAGGGATGCTGATGAGCTTTCAGTGTTAGATTAGGGTGCCCTTCACAGCCATTTTCCTTCTCTCCTCCTTTCTCTCCCCTCACCTTCTGCCAGCTCTAGCCAACGCAAATGTGTCTCAGCTGTACACCCAGGTGATAAGCAGAACTGACTCAGTATGAGCAGGGCCCAATATCAGGTGATTTTAGGTTGTCTTGGACAGCTTCAGGGGGAAATGGAGGGTAGTAAATGTAGTGCAGAGGGCAGTGACCTCACTTCTGTGCTATGAGTGTTTTGCAGCTGGCAGTAGGCCACGGGCAGGAGGAGGCATGGCTGGAACAAACCCTGCTGCAGCAAACCTGGCAGGGCTTTGGCAGCAAGAAGCACAAACTGGGTAGGTAGGGTTCTCAGATAACACGAACCAAACATTACAGATATTCACTTAAGGCTTTCCCACCAATTAATTTTTTTTTTTTTTTTTTTTTTTTTTTTTTTTTTTTTTTTTTTTTTTTTTTTTTTTTTTTTTTTTTGTAGAGTAGAAGTGCAAGCAGATATGAAGGGAGGGAGCTAAATTAATGAGGAGCAGTACATCCCCTTTATATATCCAGCTGCATGCCAGGTGACTTGAGCTGCTAAGAGAATCCTGTAGCACCTTTCTTGCCTTTCTTGTTTGCCCACTCATTCCCTTCAGGCTTATCTT